TATATATATATATATATATATATATATATATATATATATATATATTATATATATATATATATATATATATATATATATATATATATATATGTATATATATATATATATATATATATATATATATATACATATATATATATATATATATATATATTTATATATATATATATATATATATATTTATATATATATATATATATATATATATATATATATATATATATATATATATATTATATCATCACCTTCTCAATATTGTTACAGAAGATGGTTACCCCACCACCCCCTCCATTAATGTCAGTGTCTTGACCCAGTTCTTGTGGCTGATAGTTTTTTTCTGTCTCTCTTGTGATAAGACAACAACTTCCTCACACACTCACACCCACATTTGAACAGTCTGACCTCAGTCTGCTCTTCTATTATTCACGGCTCCAGATCTGAGTCATGCCGACAGGTGTGGGTCTGCGAGTTCACACTTATGCCTGTTTGCTCATACGATGTGACAGAAACACTTTGGGACAGAAGATCTGATAAATATGAACAAGATGTCTTTGAAATGTGGGAGATATTTTAGTGTAACTGAGACTCTAAAATTTCTGGTTGATTAAGTGTTTTGATTTTTTTTTTTTTTTTTTTTGTTGCTTTCTCCCTCGGGCCAAGAGAAAATCAATAATTTAAACTTTTTAAACTGGATGACAAGAAGCATCAGCTAAATGCATTTGAAATGCAAAATGCTGTGAATTGTGGTGTCGAAACCAAAATCTCTTGTGTAAACCAACAACGTTGTGTAAGCTTAATGAAATATAAAAGAGCTGACACACAATTGAATCCCTAATTGTATAGCCAAAGTGAAACGGATGTTGTTTATTGTAAAATACAGACCTAAATTTCCCTGTGAAAGGAACATGTATTTTTCATCCACAGAATAAAAATTGAAGTCAGATATGTCATCATGCTTTAGCTGCACAACAAAAAAAGATTTTCCAGCGATATGAAACTTAGTCTGTCTTTGTTTCGCTTGGTTGAACATGGAATTGGAAATCAGATAAAACTGAGCTCAAACTGAGCTGTTTTTATTCCTCAAAAAATGTCCCAGGCCTGCTCTGAAAAGAGACTGACTGAAACTACTAAATAAGAAGACTGCTGCAGATCCTCATTCATAGAGAGTAAGGATTTATCTCTGCTTGTGTGAGCTGGAACTGCACTGAGAGTCTTCTCTGATGCTGCTGTACAATTGAAGTGGAATCACAGGGATTTCTTGGGGAAATTTCTGGACATACAGAAACTCAAAGTTTCCACTCCTTTTGATGTCAAAAAGCTCTGCATGTTTAATCTGAAGTGTGATAACATTAATATGGTTGTTTGAAGTTTCTTATGTTGAGAACAGCACGTATTTTGTCTTGACTCTTCTGTCACGCCACAACAACTTACGACTCATTTTACTTGACAATCATATCATTCAATGCAGATTTTGGAACAAATTCTAAAATATTTTCTGGCACTGATTTTTGGAGCAGTTTAACACCTGTTGCCAAGAAAATAATGAGCTTGAAACTTTGGCTGTCTCTGCTTTTTAAACATTAATGGACTTATTGATTGGAAATAGATGTTTTTTTTCTTCAGATTTCTTACTTGCATAGACCTACATCCGGAGCTGCTGTTATTAGTAAAGTTTACCATAGCAGCAGATTTTCCCTGACAGTAAGGTCATAGAGTTATGATATAAACATGACACAGATGAGACACAATAATTAATAGTAACAATTCAGTTTTATATTTCTATGAACTGAACAGTTCTGTTGTATTTGTTGCTGTCTCTTGGCCAGGACTCACTTGAAAAAATAGATTTTTAATTTCAAGGGGTTTTTATCTTGTAAAATGAAACCTAACTAAATTAAAAAAAAGCTTCTTTTACACAATTTAATTCACTTTTAGAGAATAAGCCCTTGAACGAGGGATTGGCAGTCTTTACTACATGTAAGCAACTGTTTGGCAATCATGCCAGGAAAAAGAGTTTGTTCTTAAACTCTTTGAAATAGCAGAATGTGTTCAATTAAATTCTAGCGTACTCATCAGTACAACGAAAAATACATTGTCATTGGGTTTTCTTTAACAAGCCGTGACCAAATCAAGACAGAAATGGTTCAGCAGAAAACAAGATAAATGTTGGATGATCATCTCAGACTCAAATTCTAACACTTGTGGGATTCACTGACATGAAAAGAAAGAGACAACGCTGACCAAAGATGTGTCTGTCTACTAAGCTGTACAAAGTATCGATAGCAGAATAGCAAACTTTATTCAATTTGATTCCTTTTGCATAAAAAGTGATTGAAAAGCTGGTATTTGGTTTTTTAAGAAATAAAAATGTATGTTAGTTTGATTTTGAATCCTTCTCTGCTCTGTTTGTTTGAGGTTTTATGCTCATCTTTACCAGGGATGCCAACACAGCTGAATCATGAGGGCGCTCCAGATTTATAACGTGAGCTCAAGGCCAGCATGCTACTTGATTACAGGTGTGATAAAGCAGGACAGAGGTCTCTTAAATCACAAAAGACAGCAGACATACAAGTCAACAAAGTAGATAAATAAATAACAAAAGAAAAAGCCCAGGCCCCCTCAGGCTCAGCTTAAAGCGTCTTAAATGGCTACGGTGAAAGAACTGCACACATTCAACGCGACTCTCAGAGAGCAACAGAAACAAATGCAGAAAATGGGGAATATGGAGATAGTGGATTTGTTAACTGAGGAAAAAAAGCAAGCAGGAGATGGCGAGAGCATCAGAAACGCTGCAGGTGTTCCTACACTCATCCAAGGTCATCACCAATGCTTCCAGGAAGAGCTGCAGGAATACAGGACAGGGATGAAAAGGAAACAGAGATGCAAAGCTGTGAAGGAGGAAAAGAGAAAACAAAAGCAACAAGTACAAAGCAAGTATGCATAGATAAAGATAAAGGATGTGAAAAAGCATGAGAAAATGAGGGCAAGCAAGCAGGGAAAAGAGGAAAAGGGAATGAAAGGTTGACATGATGCACAGGAAGACAGAAGCCCAAGTAAGAATGCTAATAAAGGCACATAGCATAATATCATAATACATAATATCATATCAACAGGCTAATATGAATATAATTTCACTGTTTTTCTGAGGAGGATTTAATATGGGACATATGGGATTTCCACCTGAAATATTCCTGCACAGCTTTTTTTCTCTTTAAAACACAAACATTTCTTGCATACTAAGAAATACTGAATATTCTGGAACAAAATCCGTAGCAGATACACGTGTTTGTCTTTTGACCCGTCCGTGCTGACACAGCTACCTGTAGGCATTTATTAAAAATGTATGTCAAAATGGAACCAGACCACAGCCTCCAAGCCTGTCCTCTTGATAACTCCAAGACTGCTGAAGCTTCAAATTCTAGCTGAGCAGCGTAGTCAGTTAATGTCTTCACAAGGCTGCCCTTTAATATTACAATAATTACATGACAATTGATGTAGGAACGTAACATCAGCTGCAGTTTTTACTTTTAGTGTCACTGTTGACTATTCGGTGTCACCAGGAAAGGTAGAGATTGAACAGTGCAGTGAACTGAGTTTCATTTACACCTCTGTGACAGATTGGTGACCTGGACAGAAAACATCCTGCCTGTCGCCCAAAGAAACAGAGGCTCCTGGTGACCCTGGATTAAATGAGTATGATAAATTGATGGATGGATGTTTTATTGGCCGTAAAAATTTCAAATAAATCTTCACCAAAAGTACTACAACATCTTGAGGTACACTCCCAACAGAATCTGCATCCTTCAAGACTTTACCTTTATGTCATTTAAAACTGAATTATTACTTTTATATTAGTGTCTTTTGAAAATCCTTTCAATGTTTAGGCTATTTTTGGACAGGAAACACTGACTACAACAGGCCAATTTATAGTTAGTTTTCTTTTTTGCTGACTGAACCACAAATGAATTGCACAAGTGAAGTGTAAGACAGGATAATAATTCACCAAAACTCATATTTTAGAAAAAGGCACATATGTAGTAAAACTATTCTTTACTGTGAATTCCAGTGCAGGTTTCAATAAAAATAAAAACAAATAAAATAAAAAAACTTGGCACAACTTTCCTTTAATTAATCAAGCAGGTTTGTCACCAACAATTGAACTTTTACATGCCATGTTTAAGTGATGGCTTATTTGGCTGATGTTGGACTCAATTGCAGAGAGACTGAGGAAACAATGGATTTTAAAGATTCATTGAAAACGTATAAAAAAAACAACAACAACCTTACAAAAACCATAGGGAGCTTGGGCTGAACAAATGGCAATCCACAACAAAAAATGTTAATACGGGAAAAACTGGCTGTACACAGGCTAAACCAGATTAGAAAGTACAGGGAGTTGTTGCTGCTGAAACACTCTGAGTTGTTAGTTTACTATACTTAAGTCATAGTCAGCTCAAGTCATTAAGTCATCATCTGTTTTCCCTGTAATAATAACTCGCTTCAGTTGACATTTCTATGATGGAAAGTTCTGGAAAGTTACAAGTAAATGTTTTGATCAATGTTATATTTACTGTACATTTTCATGACAACTGATAAGTTTTTTTCCCCCACTATTTTCTAGAGAGTCATTTCATTTCTTGTCATTGCATTTCAATTATTCCTGGTCTTACAATAAATCTGGAGCCTGAGTAAAAAAAAAAAATAAAAAAAAAATACAACAAAAAAAAGTTTCAAGGTTAGTTAGACTGAAGGGGCGTGGCTTGCCCCTCTGATTAAGAGCAATTGAAATTATGCAGATTCAGCAGCTCTGAAAGTCACCCTGCATAAAATAACAACAACAACAATAATAATAATAATAATAATAATAATAATAATAATAATAATAATAATAATAATAATAATAATAATAAATAAAATCAGAGCGCAGGAAGAGAGAAGGGGGAGAGAGAGAGAGCAGCTGGATTCAAAGTGACTTTTGAAGTGACAGTCGACCCGAACACGAGAAGACAGACATCCTGCGTGTGGACGCGCCACACGTGTCCGAGTCTGCCCGAGCATCCGACGAGGAGGACCGAGACGCGAGCGGAGGGAGAGCAGCACCGGCAAGTTTGGCATTTCCAGTTTCCAGCGGGCTTTCAGGGGAGGGGTGAGGACTTCCGACCTGAAGCTGCGATGGAGCTTCGGAAAAGCAACGGACCTGTATTGGTTGGAGTTTACCTGTGGGCGACGTTTTACTACCAAGGTGGGCCACTGTCTCCTATTTGTTAAAATGCTCATGTTTCTCTTGTTGTTTCGCCTGGGAGGCAATGAGAGGTGAGAGCTGCTGTGGCCACATCTGGCATGACAGAGACCTGTACCCAAGGGGTATCCTGTTTTTTTTTTTTTATTTAATTTTTATTTTGGATGAGTTTTGTCGTTGTTTTTCAGTCAAAGTAATTCCTACATACATTACTCTTTGCATTGTTTTTATTTATTTATTTTGTCGTTCTTCCTTGAATTGAATTCTATAGGTTTCCACAGCTGAATTGTTGAGAAACAGACGCCATATATCAAGTTTATGGATCAGTGTGCTTAAAAAGCAGCGAGTCCCCCTTGTTTCCCCGCAACATCTGCCTCCCAATATGGAGGACGTCCCGCAGGTGCTTAGAGTTCATGAGGTCTGTCGTTATAATCTGCAGCTTCAGACTCTGTTTCATCAGATTCAAAATGCTTTACCACAGGCTGCATGATAAAACGAGCTTTACCGTCATTAAACAGACAGTAGTAAAGTGTTAAACATAAACAAACAGTCCATATACAACCACACACAAAACTGAGGATTATAAGGCACTGAATGTTTTGTTGTGTCTAGTATAACTTGAAATAATTTTATATATATATATATATATATATATATATATATATATATATATATATATATATATATATATATATATATATATATATATATATATATATATATATATATGACGTTTCTAAGGCCTGTTCTTCATGCAGTCCAGTTAGATCATTAGATGCAGCATCGCAAAAAAACTGCAGGGAATCTAACATGTTTTACACAAAAGTGACAGTCTGGATTTTAGGTGAAAATGAAATACAAGTTTTTAAATGTTGCTTGTATGCTGTTTTATTTCATTTGAATACTGAGAAAAACTAACTATAAAACACTTCAATAAAAGTGGAATATAACACCTCAAAAAGTTCAAATGTGTGGATCAGAGTTTTGTGGTCAGTTTTCTTCTTGATATTTAGAATGACATGTCAGTAAATTCGACAAAAACAAAAAGACTGTTCTCAGAGAAACTATTGTTCAGAAAGATTTAATGTTATCTTCAAAATGGTGCAGTTAGGATCCCCTCTGTATTGTCCAGTGGTCCTGGGGCCTGGGCATGCAACTCAGCAAAATACCTGTACAAATATTGATTAGGAAACTCTTATAAGTACATTTGTAACTATTTCAAGTATTACACAAGACAGTGAATGTAAAAGCGCGTAATCGAGCAAAGCTAAGATTGTTTACCTAATGTGATTTGGATAATCGTCCATGTTTGCTGATTATTAATTGCAGTGTGGAATAGTTCTCATCAGCGTCAGAGAAATGCACAGCTAAAGATATTGTCAGGCAATAAACCCTCCGGAGTTATTTACGTGACTTGAAAGTGTTGGAGATTTTGCTGAAGCTATAATTAAAATATTTAATCATAAATTGGGAGTCTAAAGGGGATCAAGAAATCAAAAAATTGAAATGCATAATTGTGCTCCCTCTCATATTCTGGACTGACATTAATTTCTCAAAGCACATTTCACAAAACGCTATGCTTTAATTCAGTATTAAAACTTGACCAAGTCTCCTGTATGTGCAGATTGCCTGAGGCTGATCAATATTCAGCCTGTCTTTGCAGAAGGGGATTCCTTTCATTTTGACTGTCCTGAAATGGAATAGAAAGTCTTCAAAAGGCTTCTGCACAGACTTTCTTCGTGCACATCTTGAAAGAAGTAGCATTAAAGAATATGTAGTAATCATCCAATAAAAAATTTAGCTTAAACATCCCAGTCTTTGTTTTTTTTTTGTTTGTTTTTCTTATCAGATCAAATAATTTAACTTTCAAGTGACAGATAAAACTGGACTGTCAGTCTGCAATTGTCAGACTCAAATTTTAATTATCCTTGTCAGACATTCAGCTAATGTCCTTCTGACCACAGATTGTTTTTCAGTTGCTCTTGGGATCCATTAAATATTCACTCTACACAAGTCCGACTTTGGCTTCATGGTATGAAGTGGCCACTTTTTTTTACTTTTATTCTTTTTGCTTGAAGCTACAAGCTGTCGGAGTTCCCTCCTGGCCTTTGAAAGCTTTATGCTGGTTTGCTAAAAGGGGAGAAAAAAACTGATATGTTATAAAAAAATTATGATTTTGCTTAAGGGGTATAAAGATTGTATCTTTTTTTTTCTTCTTACAGCAGTTCTATGTTAATGTAAAAGCTCTTCCAAAATGCATCTCGTGATGAAGTGTTAGCAAATCAAGATCACCACACTGGTGTTGATCCAGTGCAGTGTATGAACACCTTTCCACTGAGTTTCCAACACTCATTGAGTCACAATGGGAAGGCTTTTCAGTTCGGTCACTGATTTAGCATTATCTTCACTTGATGCCTGAAGCACATTGGGTAATATGTTTTTTTTCCCTAGTGGTCCATTTTAAACCAAGCCACAGTGTCAGTGTGTTGAATTTGTATGATGGCTTAATTAAGATAAGATAATTAAATTATAGTACATTTTTTAACCTATCATCTTGGAGCACCAAGATGATAGGTTAGGCTGTTTGTTTTCTCTGAATCAAATGGAGGTTTTGCCCCATTCAATCCTCTCTCAGCAGGAACTCAGTCTGCCACAAGTCACTCTGAAACAGCAAGCAGTGCTGCTTTCTCATTGTATATCTTCAGGTTGCTCATCTTGGTTTGGAACTAGTGATGTGCTAAATAAAGAACACTGAGGGATGCTAGATGTATAATAAAACAGCAAAAAATAGTCAGGAATCTAAACAGCAGAAGAGCGTATGAGTCAAACTGAGACATAGAAGACAAATGACTACTTAGAAGGTATAGAACGTAATGGATTGTCATGAGAGGCTATGCGGCCAAGAAGAAATAAGTATAAATATATATTTTTTACATCACATGTGTATCATGTTAGGTATGATAACTGTCTCATCACAAAGATCTTTAATGGGGTCTTTTCAGTATGAAACTCCAAGGTCATGAAAACATCTCATGTTTGCGTGACATGAGGACACTATAGCAAAAAGCCAGTCCAATTTGAATCAGCCAAGAAATGGTTCTTGCATTTCAAAAGTGGACTTTGACATGTCTGTGTTCATTTCAGTCACACATCAAATTATGAAATTTAAGTTTTGGGCCAGACCAAAACACGTTCCAATACAGATGGATTTGTTGCATCGTTATCATGTCTGGTGGTAACATAGAGATACATCAGATACAGTCCCTGTCATCTGGCACTTGTGACAAGAAATTCAGATGACAGCTACTTCCTCAAAATGCATAATTTAGCACAGTTTCTCTCTCATAAAACATTAAGCCTAAATTCAGCTTAGAAGGTAATTTATTGACTGTAATAGTAAAAAGTGAAGCTAAAAAACATTGAACCCGCAGTTTACATGTGGAGTTTTAATTCAGGTACTATTCCTTGTTACTATTTGTTAAAATTGCCTTCCAGTTTCTAAAGCTACAGCAGGGCTTTTAGAGGTGATACACAAGATTGCTGGGATTTTTTTTCTTTGGAAACAAACACTGACAGTGCATTAAGGATATGTGAAAAGAAGAACAGGTAAGAAAGAAAACAACTGTGATTGTCACTGTGACAAACAGAATGGGAACAGCAAGAATGCCAAAAGTGCAAATAATTATTTTGAAGGCAGGATGTACCATGAAGAGTGAAAAGGATGAAAGACTCAAACTAAATGTATTTCTTTGTTTGTTGTATTTCTTTTGTTTTACTTAATTTTAGATTTCTCTCAAAATTCTACTATTTTGAAATATTTTTAAATGCAAAATAAGTCCAATCCAGGTGACACATCTTCCTTAGCAGCCCTGTGGTAAACTTTCTCGTTGTCATCAGGAAACTGGGGATGTGAAGTGGATGTGGCGTCTTAAGCCTCATTTTGAAAAAGGAAGAGTTGAATGGTGGGATTTAGAAGCAGCTTGTTTCCAGATGCTTGCTGCCGACATTAATGATACACAGCTATTGTGGTTGAATAACCAACACTGGAATCTCGCATTCGCTCTCAATCTCAACATCATGCCTAGCGTTGCAACGTGAAGAAGCAGTGTGTCTGGAAAAGAGGCATTAAACCTTTCTAGGTGAGCAATTGCATTGTTTAGTGAAAGGCATACCTAAAATTCCCATTGAATAAACCCATAAAAAGTATTTTTGTTACATAAAATTAGCAGAGGGTGCATGGAAAACAGTGTTTTGCTTTTTGAGCAGCATGTCTGCCCCTGTTTAATGTTTCTACTACAAATGGTTTTGGTGTTTTTAGGAGTGAAATAATGTGCACAATTTAGATTTTTCCAAAACCTGCGCTACTTATTTGGTGCAATTTGCAAAGGAAACCTTGCCACCTATCACTCTGTTGTAGCAACAATTCAGTCTTTGTACTTAATAAGAAAAAACACAAAACCAATTTCACTTCATTTGATAATCCAGAAAAAAAAATACAGAATTTAATAATCATTCCACTTTGAATGATTATATGTTGCCTGCCTCTTAGATGTGAGCATTATTTTGCCACTACATTTTGACAGGACTGTCTGCTACTCAGAATGTCATTTCTTGGTTCACTCCACTCCAGTGCTTCTCCATAATTCTGTTGGCTTACATGCTCTCCTATTATGCAGATTTCCTTTCAAACCCAGATTTAGGGATACCCAATCTGACACTTGCCAAAACCTTTGCACACAAAAGCGCAGCGAGGCATCTTTCTTTACTTTTGCTTCATTAACTGATCAGCCGGCCACACAGTTTTGTGGCCACACAGATATATTGGTTGTCACTTGGTAATTGGTAAAATATGTTGGGACAGGAGCTAATTTGGATAGGGGTCAGTGGGAAGATGAGGGCTGAGCCCTTTTCATTCGCAGCTAAAATGTGAGTCTGAGGGCTGAAATATTTAAGAAGATAAATGAATGTTCTCCTGACAGCAGTCCTGCAGCGGATTGTGGTCAAAGTAACTTCATTGCAATTTTATGGGATTTTTCTTTAAATGCAATGTCTTTTTCCCAGTTGGAATGTCTTGATGTAAAAGCAGAGACAATACTATTACATAGAATAGAATAATAGAATAAAAAGATCCATGGAGAAATTAACATGAGCTAGCAGCAAGTTAAAGATATGCATAAACATGCACATTCACACAGAGGTTAACAACTTAAAAAAATAAGGGTCTGTACAGTAAGGGCAAATTATTGAAAAGATCATATTTAAATTAAAAGAAATGTCAAAATAACAACAAGCTACAAGATGTAAACAAAAGATTCAGTCAGCAGGGTTTATATTCCTGCAAATAGCAGCAGCAATATAACGTTTGTCAGGAATAGTGACGGTTATAAAGTAACACTGCTTTGTGCAGCTCGGATGCAGCAGTCTGTCACTGTTCACCAACAGGTTTATGCACAAGTAGTGGGAGACTAATGCATGTCTCTGGGCCGACAGAACATCCTAGGATGGATGTGGTAATATAAGAGGGCCAATAACAATGGCCATAAGTTGAAATGAATCCAGCAAACTACAGTTTGTCTAATCTACTGCAATGACCACTAAATGCCACTTGCTGGACACTACAGAAAGTTTCCTTTTCATTCAGTCTCTGTGCAAAAATACAAGTTGCTTCAAATATTTGGCCCAAATTAAATGAAAAGTTAAAGACTATTGTGTGTGACCTCCGGAGATATCGTACAGTTTCTAAGTGTATAAGTTTGTTTTATGGCATCCAGATTTCATTATTCCTTTAAAGATTTTATGGTTACTTTGAGGTTTTTAAACAATCTTCTATGCAAGCAATTTCAGTAACATGGTGCCAAAGAGAATTTATGCTCATTCATGAATAACTGAGTTTGTTTTGCAAAGGGACTTCAGTGTAACGTTCATTCCTGATACAGATGCACGGGTCGTTTGTGAAAAACACTCTTTTGAGATCTGATGAGTTCAAGGAAGATTCAGTGAAACTACAACTAGCAAATTAAAGTTTAGTGAGTTTATAATGGGCTCATTGCAATATGCTTACTTTGATTTAATGTGTTCTTCTTTTGAGGGTTAGTTTTGCAGAAACAACGTCAGGAATACAAACAAGCAGACGGATTGGATTACATACAGTAAATCAATAAGTGTGATATTTTTATGAAAGATGTGGATAACTAGACCTGAACGTTGACATTTATTTTTTGCCTCTTCGCAGTTATTATCCAACTCTCCATGGTTATCACCTCTACTCTATTTGGGTTTATAAGCTTTTCATTTGCTGCTAGTTATGCATGATCAGCTTTCTTTGTAAAGAGACCCTAGTTTTAAACAAGGGTTTACATCTTTAGTGTTTGTTTGAATTAATAAAACATGACAAGTAAGGACGATTGTAAGATTTGTGTTGATGCTTTTCACCTTGGTTCTTGTTTTGCACTATAAACCACTAGCACCCTTCACCTTCTAATACTTATCTTTTCTAAATTGGTTTTTCTGCCAGATGTCCTGCAATAACTGTCCATCTGTCCCGTCCAGCTTGTCACTGCGGAGTGTACCAGAGGAAACTGTACCATGAACTGATGCTAAACTACAACCGTCTGGAGAGACCAGTCCAAAACGACTCTGCTCCTATTCTTGTGGAACTTGGCCTGACATTGCTACAGATTATTGACGTGGTGAGTGTTTGTTAAATAGAATTTATATTTTAGGTAAATGGAAAATAATATTTTAACCAGCATTTTTAAAGCTAAGAAACAATCGATTGCTCTGTGAAACTCGTTTCAACGACTGCACTCTGACCATGCTGATTGACTCTTGCACATTTCCATGGCGTTTTGTATGTATTTGTGCCCAAAAGCAGTATAAATGCACACACCTTGTGAATGTTGTACCTCATTAATCTCTGAATGTATTGTCAAGTTGATCATCTGGAGAGAAAGTGAGTCTTTGAAACAAGTTGTGTTTTCCTCCAAGCACTTTTAGTTCCATCTGTGTGTGGTGAAAAGAGACGCTTCTTTTATTATCATTATTATTTTTAATTTTTTTTGGCCTTTTGCTTCTTTTTTATGCTTTTACAAGTGCAAAATGAAAAGATTTTGCATTTGTAAAATAACTTAGTTCTTTGGAGTCCAATGTTATAATTCATTATGAAAAGAATCTGTCTTGATGGACATTTTTGGAATGAAAAAAGCTAACATTAATTATTTTTACACCACATTTTTATTTCCTCCACTGAATAAAAGTGCCACAACTTTAGCAAAATGAAATATTGGATACGAATGAGTTTCACAAAGCCGAATGAAGTAGTAGAATTTTGGTTTTAAGTTCTTCTTAATATACATACATTTTTTTTCGTCTTGACTTTCACATTTTCAGGTGCTTCCATAAAAATACCATACCTCTCATTTCCTGTGTCCTACATTTCATTTCCTTGAACACCATTAAATATAAAAGGAATCACATTGCCCAATCTTTTTCATGTCAAGCTTGAAGCTCTAACAAAGACATATCTGTAGTTTAGGTAGCTGCTCTGACATCCCTTATGTTTTATTCTGTCAGTGCTCAGCTGCTCTTCATTATGTTTTTCCTCCTGTTCGCCATAGCTTCCATCTCACAGGACAACACACAACCTCCTGCTGCTCAGACCCGCCACTTAGTCAGAGCACATCCTTGACCCAGCCCTGTCATAAGACGTCTTTTTATGCATGGCGTGTAATAGAAAGTAGCATATGCCAACTTGCAGTGTAGACTGCCTATTGCACTATTAATGTCAACTCACAACTTCTTAAGCAACATCTTGGGTAATTGTTACAGTGCTGTAAAATAAACCGGGAACAAAAACTAATTAAGTGAGACAAAAGGTGTTACCCTTTTCAGTTATCATTATGGAGCTACTTTACCTCATTTTACTATCATAGATTGTTATTTTATAGTAGCACTTGCCACACATGTTCTGTGTGTTCATACATTAACCACATAGAGAAAACAGAAGGATGTATATATTCCTTGTACGTATTGTGCAGTTTGATGGCACAACACATAATAGATAAACTGGAAAAAACAAATGAATTAATGCTTCCTGGGCAGTAGTGAATGATGTAAATCTAGTTGTTCTTTTGGGTTTGTTTGTGTGGGAAGTGGTCTCTGATTTCTCCATCTGCTCCCGTGTTATTCTGTAACCTTAAATCTGGGTCAAGTTATGGCCAACAGATGGAGTCCAACACCAGAAATGATAACAAAAGCCCAGACAGACACACACAGGTTTGTCACTACGCAATGTCAGCAAAAAAAAATAACTCCAAAGATAAATCAAGTTGAATTTTGTTTGATAGTTTACTTATATGTTGAACATTTGAGCATTTCATTTGCCATTTGAGTGGGCCAGTGGGATCTTTCTTTGTATCTCTAAGCAAACCCCTGTGAGTGTTTCACAGTGTGCTGATTTTCATATTTCCAGAGAGAGCAAAAAAGCCATGAAACAAGATGAAAGGGAAGGGATAAGGAAGAAAACTGTTGAGGAGTTTTTGTTTGACAGATTTTTATCGCAGTCAAATAAAACAAAATGCGTTCAGCAGGTTGAGCCAGCTGCATTGCACTGTTTTTCATCATGGGTAACATATTATGTGAACAAATCACACAGTGCATCTGTCACCTACTAGACATTAAATGCACTCAATTCACTTTTAGTAATTTTTAAGTGTTTTTGCTCTTTAATATTTTTCAAGCAGCACCAGGATGACCTATTTCTGTTCTCATCTTTAGTTATTCTTAATCCAGCTGCCTGAATTTTCTACTTTCATGAAAAAAAAAACAGAAACCTTAACACTGTACTCTCTCACTGAACTCTGTAAGCCACCCCTGTATAAAATCCTTTCTTTTGGTCATTTCATAATGTGTAATTTCACTCCAGTTGCTGCATTGCTCAAATGGGCATACACAGGGCATTGCATTAAACAAGCTGGAGTGCATCATTGTCATTCAGAGAACACATCAGCTCTGACTCATCTGGGATGCAGCTTTAACTTCACAGCCAGTTATTCTCATGATCTCACGAATCATGTTTACCAACCTTGCAGAGTTTACTCTTTTTTTGTTGTTGTTTTCTCTCTCCCTGTAGCAGATTTTCATTTACTATCTGTTTACAGCCAGTTCTACTTCCAGCTGACAATCCTGTCTGTCTTCTCTTGTCCCCCTGTAGGATGAAAAGAACCAAGTGTTGATCACAAACGCCTGGCTGCAACTGGTATGTCTCTTTGCTCAGTAAATTCTGTGTGATCAGTGTGATAATTTTATGTTCATTTACATTTTAGTTCAAAATGATTCATGCCCTTGGTGGGTTTAGATTTAAAATTATTTTCATTCAACCAAGATATTTGTTTGTGTTTTAGAGGATGAAGGGATCAGGAAAACCTCTCTGCATCACTGGCGGCCGATGTGATGCAGAGCTGCTTCGTAGGTTTATAAGCATTAAGGAAGCAGCCTTTTTGTTTGAGGCGTTTCATCTTTTGCTGACACTGTAGGTGGTCTAACAATCAAGGTAGCACGGGTTGCATCAGGGTAAATAATCATGCTTTACTTTTAACATAAAAGTAAAAGGGCAGATAAACAACACACCAAAACAAAGCAGGAGCTGTAACGCCAAATTGTTCAAGCTAATCTGTAGTCTAGAACTGTACAGGAAAAACAATTGGGACCTTCTTATTCACAACTTCACAAATATTTCATAGGGTCAGCAGTCCACATTTCACCTTTTGTTGAAACTGGACTAAAGACATAAAAAAAAAATCTTTTTATTGCACTTCTGGTGAAAGCTAATGGGCAAACGTCAGTCATTCCAATCCCACCAGTTCTTGACCTCTGTACCCAGAGTGAACAAATGCCTTGAGGTTCTTTTCAGAAATCAATTTGAAAGCAAAATAATAATTTGGACATCCAATAAAAAAGAACAAAATGGTAAAAGCAAAATATATTTATCCTGTCATATTTCTGCTGAACTGACTTTGTGGTATGTGGGTTGAATGCTGTCATAGTTCAGTTTGCTTTACACAGAAGATCATTTTACAAATTTTCCAGTCATATTGGAAATATTCCAGTTTGTCAAACATATTAGAATGTGTTTAACATTTTCCAGTATCAAACATACTATATGTACTGCAACACAAATGCCACAAATCTTCTTTTCAAAAGAGCACACTTTCATAAGAAAGCTTTGTTTTTGAAAATCTGATCAAAACACAATTACAAATATTAGTATCTGATGCAGCAGGTAATTAAAACAAGTAATGTTTAAATGATGGGCTAATCTAGTGTAAAAAAAAAAAAACAACAAAAAAAACATTTTGTAAAATCCAGTCCAGGTTAGCAGCAAGCATGGAGTAGAATCATAAACAATTTTTGTTAGAAAAAATGATCATATCTGCCCTCTTAGGCAGTATGCTCAAGCATTCCAGATAGATACTGTCTCCTGCAGTAGAGAACATGCGTGTGCTGGGTGTAGAAGAAGCCTGAACACATAAATAAAAAAGCAAGATCTGACAGCAAGTTCTAAGTCTTTTGATGGTTCCGCCATCGTGCGGCGAGGTTCTCAGATATGATGTCCGACGGAACTGCTTGATACATTTGCAGCTCTCTTTTGACACTATTTGCTTTTCTTCAGTAAAAAGCTCCTTCAGTAAAGTCTTTCTGGATAACGTGTTGGTTGGAAGTTACAAAACAAATCACAATTTCTTCAGTATTAAACTAAAATGGAAAAACATCCATTATAGGCATTTTCAGTATTAAGATTGAGAATCTATATCATTTTAAGTATAATACTTCTAGGGTCTTTTCATGCCTGATTCTGACTCTACAATCTCAATATTAGCACGCATCAGAAGAAAACAATTTTCTAATTTTGTTATTTATAGTCTCAGTTTCATGTTTTCAACTCATTTTCTTCTCATTTTTACACCTGAAGCTCATGACATTCCCATGTGCAGTTGGTAATCACTTTGAAAAAAAAAAAAATCTCTGTCCCTTTAAAAAGTATTTAACCAAACGCCTTGCACACAGGACATTGGGTTCCACCTCTGCATGGGGGAACTTAGCTACTGTAGATTTTATTTGAAAATAAAATAAATAAAAATATACAGAAATAAATATTTTCTACATTGTGTAGTAGTAAGGAAAAATGTTACATTGGTGCAACCAGGTATATAGAACGTCTTTACATCCTTATCTTTATTTCTACAGCAGATCCAGTCAGAACATCCCATTAGAGATGAGACAGTCAAGGTTGAGTTGGCTGCTGACTGCCTTACAGGTTATGAATGTATCAATTATTCAGGAAGCCACCTCTTTAATACATCATCTACTTTGGTGCAGTAGCTTATGGGGTCTTTGCAGATGCGGCAGGATTGCAAGGAGACTTGAGAAGTGGATTATGCAGCCAGATACAATCAGTCAGATAGTTAGATGGAAAAGGGGCACGTTTAACTTTACTGCATCCTGGATGATATTAGGATCTTTATGAAACATGAGTGATCAACGGAGAATAAAGTACATATCTTGACGTGAAAAATGCTTTGAACAAAAGCTGATTAGCTTTTGTTCAAATCTATGCTCCACTTTTCTCTCCTCTCTGCTTCTCTTGTGAATGATAAAGATAATTGCAGATACGATGCATATTATGCACTACAAAAGAATTAGGAAATGATTTTAAGAATAATGTTGTGTTGTGTTTTAATGGCAAAAACAAAGTGATGCTTAATTGACAACTGAATGAAAAGTGCTGCATAGTTTAGATTTTTATTTTTTATTTTTTTCAAATAAAAATATGAGAAATATTTTGTGCATTTGTATTCAGTCTGTTTTACCCTTTCACCCTGAAAAAAATCCAGTGCAAGCAACTGTTTTAAGAAATATTCTGATTAGAAAATAAAATGATGTTCACTGAAGGCCTCTGAGGGTTTTTTAGAGAATGTTAAAGAGTAAACAGCATTACAGACTTCCAAAAAAATTAGAAAATAGAATTTGGAGCAGGATTAGGCCATAAACAGATTTGAATACCTTACGTAGTACTAATAAATTCTGAATCAGGAAATGGAAAGAGAATGGCACAACTGCCAACTTACCAGTACATGGTGTCCTGCTTTCAGTAACAGGTTGAAGAAGGAGAAAGTTAATCAAAGAAGAAGCTAAAAGGTCAATGGTTACTTGTGAGGAGAAACCATTGGTTACCTTGTAGTACCAGTAGGATCAGCTGAATTGATGTTCTCTGTGTTTTTTCCAGATTTGTTACTTTTTGGCTTACAAGCAAAATGCTATACTGCAGTGAAAAATTAACACACCATAGCAACCATGAACATTGACAGTGATAACACCACAGATCAGACATGCTTTTTCTTCAGCAAGATTCAAGGCAACACTGGAACAAAACTTCCTCGAGGCTGCAAAAGATCTGAGTCTAGGACTGGGGTGTACCTTAAGGCATGACAACAATCCTAAACATACAGACACAATCATGAATACATGTTTTAGGTCTAAGTTATGTGTGTTATAATGGTCTAGATGTAATTATATATTGATAGTTTTTGGTGACATCTGACATTTTATGCTCAGACTGCTGTTTCAAAAAGTGGATTGGGTAAAATGTTTTATTTAAAAAAAGAAGAAAACACATCAATCATTTTCCTCTACTTAACAGCTACATGCTACTTTGGGAGTGATCTATCACAAAAGGTCCCTATGAAATACACTTAGATTTGAATTCGTAGAGTGACAGAACGTGAAAAGATGCATTGGGTATGGATACCTGTAAACTTGAAGGACACGTCTGTGCCAGACAAAAAGTCTTTTGTGCACCATCAATCAAATTCCACTCACATGCATTTGAGTGAGCAGAGATACAGCAAACAGAAATACAGATTTCTGCACCCATACAGATTCCCGGAATCTGTTTTCTGCTGGTTTGTGTTGAAGAGGCTCAACAGTGAAAGCATACTCAGAGATGAACATCAGGAAGACGCTCCCATCACCCAAAAGACAAGAAGCAATCAGTGCCATATATCACATTATTTTCACAGCTTTAGCTGCTGCTTCCGTTTGAGTTCCAATTTGTTCCATTTGTTTCTTGTGCTTTAAAACAACTTGATAGTAATCACAGATTTGCAGAGCAATGATCACACTATTTTAACTTTGTTTGTCTCAAGTTAGTGATGCCTACTAAAATTCCTGTTACATAACTAAAACTATTCTTCGACAGATGCTGCCTTGCATTGCAGATAATGTCCACCTCCCTGACCAAAGAGCTAAAGGTTAACTGCTTTGTTTTGCTTTCCCAGCCAAGGAACATGAAAAGAAACGTCAAACATTTCAAGGTTTAATGATGGCAAGTGAGGCAATTAAGTCATTAGCCTCCTCAGTGGAAACATATGTCAGCAGACACGAATTAAATGTTTCAGAAAAGAACAGAGTTCTTATTACTGGGAATAACTAATACAAGGCAAAATCTTACTAAATGGAGGGGAAGAATACTATTTGCATGCATGCACAATTACGCACATGAACATACATTGCGGGCTGAGCAGATGTGCATCATATGCAGTAGCCATTTTAAATATGGGGCTTTGGTTATTCCACGGAGAAGGGGGCATAAAGGTTTAACATGTGCCTACATCCAATTCTTATACAAGAACATTTAAGCAAAGCATGCTTAAAGGCTAAAACACACAACATTCAAATAACTACAGATGACAGATTAACTTGTTACTTGTCATAAATAATAAAAAAGCAGCAGTGTGTGCTTTTAAAATGCTGTGGAGCTGGACTCACTTCGCTCTTTGCTGAATTGAGCCAACCTCAGATGGGATTTCAGGGAGTGGTGCCAAATGTTGGCTTGGCAGACTTTCAGTGGCAACATTCATTATCTGAGCGAGAGACAAAGTGTAACAGCCAACAACTAATGGCCGGTGTAATAGGGAAATGTTTGACTTTTGATGTCCTCAGGTTAATCACATTTAAAAGGAGAGATTTTTTTTGAGGGATTTTGTTCTTTCAATACCTCTCTGTGTCAGCATTTATCATAAAATAGGATTAATCGTAGGTGGTGCATCTGCTCATGAATGAACCTTTTAATACCCAGAGTGGAAGACAGAAAGGTGTTGCTTCTGTTAAATATATCTATGTGAATAGCATAGATAGAAACCCAACTCTTTTTTTTTAACTTTTGAATCTTAATTGTAGAGCAAATTCATTGACCTGCTTCCTTATTCTCCATAATTTGATGCAGCATTGGACGGATATTTATCTGTCCTGGAACCCAGAGAATTACCCCGGGGTTCAGAATCTTCGCTTTCCCTCCAATCTAGTTTGGGTTCCAGATATCCTCCTCTACAACAGGTAATGTCTGTTTTCTTATCTCCTGCATGCCTTAAAAAAAAAAAAAAAAAAAAAAAAAAAAAAAAAACTCATGTCATGCTCTATGCTTTTCATAGTATTGGTTGCTTTTGACTGTTTTGATTTATTGTGTAAACATTGTCATCTCTTGGGTTTCTGTTTTACTGTTTTATTACACTTTTTATTTTAAATCGTCTTTATTTTATGGGTTTGTTTGCTCCTTTTGTCTACTTTTTGTCCCTTGCATTTTGTCATTCTGAGATTCGTCTGATGGCCACGTTTGTAACTCTGTTCAGTTCACTTCCAGGTTCAACAATCACCGTGATTCCCGAAGCCACTGTCTTCTGTGATTTTGTAGTTCCCATGTATGTATTGTCTTTTTTTACCCACATGAGGAAACATTCTGAAAAATGAATAAATAAATAAAAAATAGCCAGTCTTTTGGCTTCTGAATGACCTTAATTTCACATCATAAATAACAGAAGTTTTAGAAGCGTTCCTCAAAGGTTTTAACTTATAATGCATAATATCAACAGAGTTTCTGCAGAATTTTCATAAGGAAATTAATACGCCACCACAAAGGATTGCAATTTAGTGACTGTCAAAGGTACTGGAGTTCTGTCCACTGAAAGTTGAACATTTTTTAAACATTTTTTGTGTCGTGTCACTAGCCCGCGTGCATATACTCATAAGCAACAGTCGCTTCATACTGCAAACTCCATAGAGAATGAATGGAGAGTGAGAGACGTCACTTCCCGTTTGTCGAGCCAAGAAGGAGGAGTGAACTCTCGCATCAGTTACTGGCCAGGCTCATGGTCTTGTACCACAGAGTAAACCATGACATCCCTGTAAGGACGAGCATACAGGGAAAAGCAAGCATTTCCTGACTTTTAAGCCAGGAAAAGACTTGGATAAAAGTCAAATGTGTTTTTGGTATAGCTGGCTGTACGCCACAAGTCTTGCACTAATTCTTCTTTGAGTGTTGCTAGCCAGTGTTGGTATGATGAGGTTGCCGCCAGGGCAGCATTTGAAATGTTCTTACAGGTTCTTTGTGCATTTTTCAATTTCATAATGGACAATTGGAAACAAGTATGAATAATCGTAAGAAAATCCACCGAAGGTTTTTTTTAGCATCCTCTAAGCAATAAGGGAACGTCCACAGTTTGGCCCATATGTTTTACCTGAAGTGTGATGTGCTCTTGGTGAACCCTGTAAAGTTCTCCAAGTCCCAGTTTAGAACAAACACATCAGTGGTGTGATGGTTTCCACTCTGACACTGAACTTAAATCTCCTTGGATTAAAATAAAGACTGAAATTCTGAACAAATATCCAGTGAGCTTCCCAGAATAAGAATCCTTCATGTTTAAATCTCTTTATGATGCCAATTTTCTCATTAAGAAAATATTTTTTAGATTTCTTTAGCATTTATAGAAAGCTGCAAATATGATAAACAAACACAGAGAGCATTTATCCGTTTGTGAAACAGCTGCGTCTCAGGGATATGCTGTGGTTTATTTGGCCCATTTGAGAACGTTGTGGTCCCAAAGGATAATCGGAGGAAATCAAGCATATGCTTGCCTTGCAGCAAACTATTTGTCTTTAACTTCTTGTAGATTTAATACAAACACATTTAAATACTTCAGAGGACTGTTGGAAGCAATATTAGATGGACAATCATATTTGTTTAACTGTTTTGAGATTTTTGCAATTGCAAATGTGTTTCATAGTCTTTATTACTTGTAATGTTCCTGGATATATATATTGTTTAACAGGAACTCCATTTGTGTTTCTGAAAAAAGTCACTAAAATAGATTCTATATAGTTATTTGGAATGCATCCCTTACAATCTCCCATATCGACAGACAAATCATAGATACTGTGAAAACAAAGTTACACAATCCTATTAAAATAGTTTTTGATTATGCGAACGATATAAAGTGATACCGATCTTGTGATACTCTACTGAAAGGTCAAGCTAACCTGGCAAACCAATCTGTTTGTGTTTTGTCTAACTAAACCCAATTCTTTATCAGTAAGAGTCTCACCTTGGTTGGGGGGGAAAGTGAAAAAGAGAGACATGAGTTTTTTGCCGTGTAACAGAGAGAGCATTAAACGTTAAGCTGCTTACAGAGAGGACCACAAATCACAAATATTAATGACAATATTTCTGATGCAGGCTGGGGTTGAAACTGATGTTCTTTATGCTTTGAGGATTAATCCTGGGTAAAATTTTGGCTTCTTCATAATAATAAAGTAAGCCTGCAAGAGAAGAGATTAAAATTACGAGATTTAAAATTTCCATTAAAAAATTAGGTCATGATAAACTTGAGCAAATATGAATATGGGGGAAACATTTCTAAGACAAGACCACTACTTAAATGTACAGTTCTGCATAAGAGCTTTTTGAAGCCATATGTCCAACAATAAGCTCTTGTATGAATCACTTTCTCAAATGTATTGATTGTTGCATAACTATTTTCCTCTACATATGATGTCTGTCAGCTTTATACACCTATACACTGCTTCACCCCTTGATGAAGTTAATCGGGAATCAGAATAGCCTATTGATATAATAGACCAAAGAAAAGTTGTTGCAAAGTAGAAGGAAACTGATAGATTACTGTCAACATTTTGTAAGTTTGGCTTTTATATCCTGCCCCTTTTACTATAATTAAACAGTATTTTAGTGCAACTAGTTAATTCCAGCTGTTCTGGTTTGTTAGAGGACATTAGTGAATAAACAGCATCATGAAAGCAGACGAACACTAACTACCATGACACAATCCCAAATTGGGCCTTGAAAAACTGTGCCATTAAAAAAATAATAATAAGAAAGTGTACTGATCATATTTGAAGTTTGCCATAAGTATTTTAAGAGACACCTCCCAACACATGCACCAAGATGCTCTAATTATTTTAGATCAAACCTTAAATCTTTGGCCTACATGCAAAACAATATTTGTAGTTGAGAAATGAGCAGAACACACCAGTCTGAACACACATCTCCATGGTGAAGCATGATGGCTGCAAAATTATCTTGGGTGCTTTTCTTTATCAGGGACAGAGAAACTTGTCTGAGTTGCTGATAAAAAGGAGGGTTCTAAGGATGTGGCTAAATATTTGGAAATGCCAGAAGTATTTAAGTCTGGCATGTAGGTTCATCTTTTGTTAAGGCAGAAAACTGGACCCAACGGAACGGGTCAACACCAGTCTTCAGCTGAAATAGATTCTGCTCAAGATTGGTCTGATAATCCAATTAAATTTTGGATGTGCAAAGCTGGTAGAAACGTTCACCCAAAACCTTGCAGCTGCTAAAACAGTGAAAAGGGATTCTATAAATTATGATTTCAGGTAAGCATATTATTATTTGTTTTTTTAATTGTGTATCGCAATTCTTCATTTTTGCAATTAAACAGTCCTTTGTGTTGTTTTATGACATAAAAACCCCAATATATGTAATAGTAAAATGGCAAAAAGGAATGAGCATTTACAAAGATTTGAAAATGTTAGAGTTGTCATTTTGCAATCCAAAAGTTGTGGGTTTGATTCCAGTTTCCTCTGTCGCTTATTTAGCCTCACATTTTCCTACCAGTCAACATGTCATGAATGTGCGTGCTTGTGAGTGAATCTCTAATGTGAAACTATCTGAGTGCCTCAATCTGAATTTATATGGGGCTTGAAAAGCCCCATATAGATTCAGTCCATTTACCATATATATGTATTGCTCAAGCTGTTAAGGCTTTGATCCTGTCTGCCAGGCTGCATGTAAAATTGAAACCTCTGGAGTGCTGAACTGTGAAAATCTAAAATTACTTAACAGAAAGTCATCTGTCTGCACAGCTTAGAGGAGTTTAGACAGGCACCAAACATCATAAATCCTCAGGCTCGGTGGTGTTTGAGGTTTTTTTCTATGAAGGACCTAAGAGGGTGACTTCCTGTTTCTGCTTGTGTGAATAGGAAGAAAGTTGCTGCTGTCACCTGAGCATTTCTCTCTGTGAAGCTTAAGATCAGTCTCTTCAAACCTAAGATCAATCTTACAATAACTCCTCTGGTAGAAACATGTGGGACGAGTGTGTGGGAGCTTTGAGAAATTGAGGATCTTGGACGTAACACAGTTGTCCTGTTTGCTCCATGGCTCATTATTTCTCTAAACCCAGCAGGATGAACATTGAGAATAGTTCCATGTCTCTAAGGATCTCAGACTGTTGACAGTTTAATGCTTTGTGTCCGTGTAAGCACATCAACAACATTGCATCCAGAGTGATTTGAGACACAATGAGGGGTGAAGAGGCAATCCCTATTGAAAATCGAATGGCCTGGTAAAACACAATCTCCTGATGTGTGTTGATGTGCAATATATGTGTCTGTGTATAAAATGTAAATAATAGTTTCTTTATGGACTTGGTAGACTATCTGTGACTTCATCTGGTGCTACTTTTAGAATATATAATATATTTGGGTGCAAACACCATCCAAATGCAAAAAAGCATGTTACTTAATGCTTCTTTGCGTGTGATTTTTTTAAATTCAAAAGCCCTATTCCAAGAAAAAAGATTACTATAAACAATAAGCAATTTAGACTAAGAGCTAATTCATTACATGGGGATTCAAAGTATTCATCATGGTTTGATCCAGAATCTCTAAGATGCTGCATTTTCTGTCCTTTAAGATCTTAAGAGTTCAAATTCATGCACTCATGTGTGCAGACTACTCAGACTGCATTTACTCGTACTAAAGCAAAACCAATCTCTAAAGACTTCACTTAAATCAAATTGTGACTGCCAGTCTCCTCACTAATTTAAACAAACGCTAAATTTAACCATAGTTAGTAGAACCTTAGTTCTACTTTAATTGCAGTACTTTTCTGTGGGCTTCACTATGAAGCTTTAGTTAAAATTCTTAAGGACTTGAACTTGAGTATATAAAGTTGCCCTCAAGCTGATTCTCAATTAATTGTCATTTGTGTTGCTGTATCTGAAAACATTATTTATGTTTATTCAAAGGTGAAGAAATGAATAACATTTTTAAAATATGAAGGATTGTTATATAAAACACTTGTTCATGATTTATGATGGATGTCCATTAGTAAAAAGTTTGTACTAGAATGAAAGGAAGCACACAGAGTGCCAAGGACAAAGTTACTGCTTGCTGTGAAGTCACCATGTTGTTTTTCCCTTTTCTTTTTCCTGCCTAATCCTGATCAACTTGAGCTGAGTGAAGTGACGTACATGTCTGCATTGTGACACATACTACAGAATTATTTTTGACGTATGCAAAAGATCCTTGGCAGCCTGATCCATCTTGAGATTAAATTACATCTAAAAAGGATGAGAACCTTGAAGCACAAAGCAAAAAGGCCGTAACGTAACAAATGTATAAGTGTTTATCATCATAAATTTTTGTACTCTTATTTAAAACTGCAAAGGCGATGCCCTAACATTCTTCATGAGGATTTGGTCTTCATAGTCATTGAAAATCCTGTTCAAATTCAGTACTACTGGCAATTTGTTTTGCATCATTTTTCTTTGGTTTCTGCCGTTTCAGACTAGTTACTAACTAAACATTGTTACAAGAGTCAAAATCCATAACAGATTAAATTAATGCTAGTTTCTATACAAGTGATATGTGTTTTAATATTGGCTATAGCTGCTACAGGTATCTACTTGACAGCTGAACACAGGAGGAATGGAGCTATCAGTAAGTTCTAAAAAACTGAACAGGTAATAGTTATTTCCTCCAGCATGTTTAATAATTCGCTGCTGTAGAAACTGAAGCTTTTCTGAGCTTTACGTTCCTCATATACATCAGTATCAGATCTTTAGATGCTTTGCAATGTTGTAGCGTTACTCGACTTTGTTATCACCAGTCTAAGGGCTTGTAGATATTTATTTGCCTTTGCTGTTTTGCTTGAATCACTAACAAAATACGCTTAAATTTCGCAAATTTTAGTTTTGCATTATTGCCTTAAACAAAAAAGCTCTTCTCTGGACATATTGTCCTAATATTAGAGTCATAATTCTTAACATGGCTCAATTACTGACTGTCATTTAACTGAGAATCTCAAAAATAAATTATTTTCTTATTGGTTCTCTCAAAGTGTTAATTAGTTTGACAACTATAAAGGTCATAATAAAATACTGTATAAATTTGGTAAGTTAATTTATTTTGGCTACATACTAATAACATCAGAAAAACAACATTTACAATAATTGAATATCACAATATTTATTAATATTTTTTTACCTTTAGAATCTTGACCATGAGTCCCACACATACCAAAGAGTGAAAGTTTATTAAGCCACCCATGTTATAAGCATGGAAAATCTGCCAATATTTAACATTTATGTTCCCAGAGTGACTGCAAGTTGTGCGACTAAACATTCAGCAAGAATTAGTTGCACAAATACCAGTAAATCACTATCTGATTCAGTTCTTTTCCTATTTATCTATCAATGTTTGCAGTAATTATAAGGCATGAAAACCAAGATTTACCAAGCATTAGGTACTCGGGGAGAGGGGGATAGTTTGATTTATAATCCAGTGTGTTGATTCTCGTTCTTTGAATTAGTTTCATGTTAACTGTATTTGGTTCTGCTCCTCAGAAAGTGGATAAACGCTCTCATTTGCTTTCCAGTCCACACATTAGCTAAAAAACATTCAAAATGCGATTACAAGGTTAAAATCTAATATAGCTCATTCATTCAGGACATTAAATGAGAATGATGGTAGTAGTTTTACTGCTCTCGTGCAACCTCTTTGCCTTTCAGCCCTATGCTAGGTGAAACAAGCGATTAGATTTAAATGATAGATTCAGAGGTTGTAATTTGATGTTGAGCAAAACCACATGGCCAGAATTGATGTTCTACCTGTCGGGCTAAAAGCCTTCAGGGAAAGTTTAAGTACGGCCATCATATTCTCTCACTGCCAGTAATTGGTAGAAATATACTAACAGACAATAACAAATGATGGGTTGAGGCAAGCTAGTCTCTAGATTTGGATAAGCACTCAATCATTGCTTGAGCTGGAGTGCTTTCAGGCATCGCTATTTTTTTAAAGTTTTGAGCCAGAGCACGCCAACCTACATGCACTCTTTATCATACTTGGAAAAATAAGGCTTTATTAGCTGTCTACCTCTGTACGCAGCTTGTTTCTTTAGGTTTTCTCCTGCCTATTTGTCTGGAATCTATTGACACGATGTGACATAATGGGAACATACACATTTTTCTTTTGTTACTACCAAAAATATGAAAAAAATAATAATTAGATGTTTGCATGAATCTGTTCAGGTTTTTGCTCTACTGTCACTGGAATCAGGAAATGACTTCATGTGAAAGAAGGGCTTATGAAATGCTGTGAAACTCCTCAAAAATCATCAATTTAACAATCCCATGCTGTCTAAAATGTCACCAGTTTCAGTTTTACATTTTTTAAAGTTTTTTTCCACGGTCCACTGAAACCATGGTTCAACTGAGGTAAATCTAATTGCTTATTTTGAATCAGAAATGGGCAACAGCTGTCTTTATAGCCTTTATTATTCACTCCTTATGTGGAGCCGCTTTCTGAAATGTCAGGCTATTTATTTTTTTGAACAAGCCATGTCTATTTTATTTCCTAGGCTTGTATTGATTTGCAGAGACCCTGCCAATAATGCAGCAAGAAGAAATACAAACTGTGACTGAAAATTCATCACACCAAGGCCCAAGTACAACAAGTGTCATCCATTTATTTGATTTGGTACAGCAATGATACCAGACAAGCTGCTAAAGCTGCCAATGTGAGGATGGTTTCTTTATTTAGGGTGAATGCATTCCAGTCAAATGTCTGTTCTTTTGAAACCAGGCTTGGTAGCTCATTAAAAAAGTTAAAACTTGAGACTTTCAGGAAACACTTCTGACATAATGTAGTGTTAAGCTGTGATTACAGTCTGGATAATTACAGCTTCTGCTTAATTTTAGACTCACTCTGAAAAGAAATATTGGATGTTTTGTTAGTTTATGAGACATGCAATCTTTGCCTTTTTCTCTGTGACAAGTGGCTTTAAAGCACTCTGCAATGTTTTGTACTCATCATTGTAATTAAACACTGCATATCTGTAGCTGTGGAAATCCTCCTCCTCCTCATGTCACCTTCAGACTCACATTCTGTTTTTTTTTTTTTTCTTTTCTTTGTGTCTTTGACTTTGCAGCTTACTCATTATTTTATCTTTCTCTATAATGTTTCCTGAGTTGCTGTTCAGACTTGCGGTTGCCATTTACAGTCGTTCCTAACTTATCTTCTCTGACTCTAGTGCCGATGAGAGATTTGATGCCACGTTTCATACAAATGTGCTGGTTAATGCATCAGGAGCCTGCCAATACATCCCACCCGGTGAGATATTCCACATGTTACGTGTGGCCTGTCTCTGAGTTGTATTTATTGTCATGGATTAGAAATTTAGATGAATTACATTACAGTGCAGATTTATTAATACTGAATATCCTTTGTTACACAATCCCCTTTTTCACTCTGTATACCTGGGATAGGTTGGGAGATTTTTTTCTTGAGAGTTGGAAGTGCATTTAATTTTAACTTATTTTTCTTTAAATCCTGATGTTTTAAAATTAACCCCAGCATGCAACGGGAAAACACGTAAAAATGATTATATTAACTACATCATCCAAAGTCTTTAAAGTCTTACATACGTCTTTGTCTAGATTCACATATCATTGTAACTTTTTTCTTAAAAACTAGAACAAATACATTATTTAGCAAATGTTTTTCTTAATCAATAATATCATTTGCACTTAGTCTAACAAAAACGGAGAAAAAAAAAAGAGTTTCACACATAAATCTTTGCTCGGTGATAAATATGTCCATGTATTTTTAAGTCATTTTTTCCTAATTGATCAGGACTCTTTTTTAAAAAAAAAATCAGTTCATTAGCGTGGTTTGACATGGCATAGAGGCGAAACGCCGAACCAGATGTTGGTTGAAGAGGGAAGACATGGCAAATTCTGCCAGCATGTCCATTAATGCCTGTCAGCAAAGGAGACCACGAGGAGCAATAAAACATCCTGGTATATGTCTGCACTGACTTTAAACCTCTGAAAACACAGGTGATAAATAACAGCAGAAGACATGGCTCTATAAATTATTGACTGTGGAAACTTCCCACTGGGCCAAGAGCAACATGGATTCTGGTCTCTCCGTTCTTCCTCCAGCCTCTGTGGTATAGATCTTCAAATTACGTGTAAAAAATACAATGTTATCTGGAAAGGGGACTTTGGTCTAATCAGAATTCAGTTTTCTTCTGACTGTTCACTCAGGTTCCCCTTAATAAGTTTATTTCTTAATGTCTTATGACCATCAGTGACAATCTGATGGTCATAAGACAATTGAGCAGGTCATATGTATTGAACATCTCTTTTACTTGGCTCTATTTAAAGTAATATTCTCAGAAAATTTTAATAAACAAGTAATAACCATTCAAATCAAATCAAATGAACACCCATTAAATTGTGTTTTTATGAACTTTACTTTTTGTGAAATCATAACGTTTTTTAAACATTGAGCTCCACCTGTACCTTACAAAACAAAACATTTTTAGCACAAAAAATAAAATAAAAAAACAACTCTTGGGTGAAACATAAGAGTTCTGTACTTGCTTCTTTCAGGTATCTTGAAGAGTACATGCTATATTGATGTCCGGTGGTTCCCATTTGATATCCAGAAGTGTGACCTGAAGTTTGGCTCTTGGACCCACAACGGCTGGCTCCTGGATCTTCAGATGATGGATGTGGATATTTCTACATACATTCCCAACGGAGAGTGGGACCTCGTAGGTAAGAAAAACAAAAAAAGAAACTTAATTCAGTTTCTGTATTAGACCTACTTATGATTTTTTTTTCCTTTTTTGGGGAAGGTATTTTGAGAGGAAGTTGTATGTTTTGAAAAAAACATCCAACATTTGAAAAAAAACATTGCTATATTTATCCCAAAGAGAAATTAAATGTTGTCACTCATATAATCCAAGTAATGCTGGATTACTTGGATTATAAGCAGCCAGCCTTACAACAAAACTGAAGAGGCCTCTCACTGAAGACATTTGCTGAAATTACATAATTAAATTTGATGTTGAGTGGAATTTAATTATATTCAACATCTGAGCAGCAGAGACAATATTTAATAACGTGTCCTGAATGACACCATCAGTCGTAGCCAAGCAAGCACTGCTAAACCACAACATTTGTTTTTTGCCGCTCCTCTTTAAATCTGTCTGGTCGCGTCATTAGAAAGCTGAGCAGCAGAGAGACTTTGGCATTTTGATTGATGGAAGAGATGGTTTCAGCGTCCTCCTTCTCCATCTTTTCTTTGGTCCTTTTCTGCATCTATGAAGCCTTTTTTCAACTCCTCTGGGATTTGGGGTTGTTGTTCAGGTATTTGAATTTTATGTATGCTACTTGGCTGCTTGCAGGTGAAAAAAGCAATACTTCATTGCCATGATTACACATCACCTGTCCGAAAATGAAAAATTAAGAGCAAAAATCCCTCCTGTTGCACAGCATCAAAAAACCAGAGGGAATAATTGTCCAAACACACAAAAAAATGTGAACAAAAGTGGAAAGAGAACAAATCAGAACCAACATTACAGAGCTACTCTAACATGCTGCCACCCTGTTAGAGTAGCCATTCTATACAATTCTAATACCCAAGGACAATAAACCAATATTTTATTTAGCACACATGGCTAACAAGACTGTGACTCTGATTTTCAGCCTTCACAGATACTTTATGGCATTCTTTATGCTGTGAGATTTCCATTGAGTATAAAAGAGCTGAAACAGTGCTTCAGAGGTAGTCTGCCTTAAGGTCCCCAACATTTTAGACACAAAGTTTGAGAATCTTGATTATTAAATTAAGCGGGACCTTCACACAAAATGTTCTGCCTGTTTTCAGATACTGTTTTCATAACCAACTACAAAACTCACCAATGATGGAGAGCTACCAATGTGGAAATTTCCCCAATTCAACCGAAAATGATCCACACGTATACAGATTAACTACCGGGCCACTTTTCTTCCTGTATTAATTTAAAATTTCCTGCTTAGATCTTAAAATGATTCTCAGTTTGCTTTGGGGAGAGGTTGCATAGCTTCCTTAAAGATAACTGAGGAAATATTGAAGACATTGCTTAAAGGTGAAAAAGTATATTCATAAAAACCTTGACATCTTTTCGCAGGGTTATGTTGACTTGGTTTTAATTACTAAATATTTTGTCACATTTGATGAAGTAAAAGCAAACACTGAAATAGCACAGTTCTCAAAAGATTCCTATAAAAGTGTAGCAAGACAAGAAATTGCTTTTAATGAAAACAGACTATTTTCACCCATCATTCATCAAGGTCAGTCAGGAATCTATTGCATCTCAATATGTTATCATTTTTTTAGATAGTGTGCTTGGCAATGCCAAGCACACTATCTTTTTTTTTTTCCTTTTCTTTTTTTTATTAACCAGCCCACTAGAATCATCTTTCAGGGAGAAGTGTAAAAATGAAGAAAGAGAAACAGCATGGCTGTGGAAACTGAAATATGACACCTTCCTCCTCCACATGTTAATTGCAGTCATAAATTTACTTTACTGTCCTGACAAGTTACTATTTTTGTCATTTGCATTTTAAGAAGTTGGATTCAATCCTGTTAAATTTAGTGGAAGCCTAGTGTTTGATTTTCAATGAGAAAGCTATTTTTTATAATTCTCTTGCTCATCCACCAAGGAGAATTTAATACTTCAGGATTCTTGCAGTTGCCGCAATACCTATTGTGAATTGCATACTTTGATGTGTTGAGAACAAAACCTTGTTGTTGTGACATTTTGGTATATAGAAGCACATTAATAAGAACCTTTGTGAACATAGACCCTGAAATTGTACCAAAGTTTTAACTCAACCTCTTCTCCATTCTGCAACCAAATTGATACATGGGAGGCTCTGTAAACACAGGTTGACGTTTTAAAAAGGCAGATCCTATTCAGCAGTCCTTTTTACCTGGGCTGGGACGCACTGTTGCTAACTCGGCTGACTTTTCTTTCTGCTATCTTCTCTGCCCAAGGGAAATGAAAGATGTCACATAATCTCTTTCTCAATTTTTGCTAGTCAATGGCTAAGAGAAGCAGGACAAACAAAGATGCAAGCATGGACTTGCACACAAAGTGAGCTCTCCTAGCTGGCCCCAGAAATGTGTGTGTGAGTGTGTGGGGAGTATTTTGGTTTGTATGAGGTGACAGCTGGTCCAGCAATGGCTCACTTAATTCCAAACAGTCAAGGGCCAAACTTCCCGGGAACACAAATCATCTCGGTGCTTCAGAAAAAACTATGCCAGTGTCAAGGCCGACAAACACACGCACACACACCCCCACACACCCCCCCCCCCCACACACACAAAACACACACCACCACACACACACACACACACACACACACACACACACACACACGCACACACACACCCACACACACACACACACACACACACACACATAATCGATCTGAATCTGCAAGTCTGCAGTCCATCAATTTAATAGGTGGCGAACAAAAGCTACTTCTTTTCAGAGCCAAGTGACAAACTTTGAATTATGTAAAATCAGATCCATTTAATTTATTTAAATTTAATTTCTGGAGGAAACCAATTCTTTTAGCAAGACACTTGAATTGTGTTTGTAGACTGCTGCTGACTGTTTCAGACAAGAGTCTTTCTCACAAATGGAGTATAAATATTAAAATGTGAGAAAAGGTTAAAAATTGTTGATATGGGTGGTCTGTCATGCTCAACACATAATCAAATCTGCTGCACTTCAACTTGATTTTGATTCAGAACTGATTGCTAATTGTGGTCCAGACAACTCATCTCAAACACACACACACACACTCACGCACACACTGATTAATAGTGAAGTGATTAAAACGCATAGTTTCATTATGTCACCATCATTTCAAAGTGCAATACTTGTACTGTTATCTTGTTCTTTTGATTGAAATTGGCACTCAAATTGTACTCCCCCATTACCCCCCCAAACACACACACACGCCTACACACACACCCCCCACACAGTCTAATACAAATTTAAAATCTTGTTTTGATACGTCTGTGACGTGAGGTCATTTTCCTTTCTGTTTCAAGTTTGGCAAAAACACAGATAAATGCAAATAGTTTATCTGTGAGAAAAGAGATGGACACTTTCTACCTGGAAATAGTGTCACTGCTTTTAGTTTGCATCTGCTAAAATGATGATACCTGTATAAGTTTTTTTTTCTTTGTTTGTTATTATCTTCAGATAAATGCTTTCTTTTCAGCATTTCTGTCTGTAAAGGTATAAGAAAACAATATTCCGACCTATCTAGCCATTCTACAGTATAAATAAATTCAATAAATTCAATAAATTCCAACATGTCCAGTTTGTTCAACCTCCGACATTTATCGCCTTCTCATCTTTTTGTCCTCCAGGTGTGCCTGGAAAGCGCAACGAGTTGTACTATGAGTGCTGCAAGGAGCCCTACCCTGATGTGACGTTCACTGTCACTATGCGACGCAGGACTTTGTACTACGGCCTCAACCTGCTCATCCCCTGTGTGCTGATTTCTGGATTGGCCCTTTTGGTTTTTCTGCTTCCAGCTGACTCTGGAGAAAAGATCTCACTGGGTACAGGCCAAGACCACACACACCAATACAGCCTAAAACACTGAAACAATCCAACACTAACACAAGAGGAGACTGACTCATAAACTTAAGACTAGAATATACTTGTACACCTTCCCTACCTCAATAGCAGGCCTCAGTGGTGTTCAGAGTCGTCTATTTGTCACTTTCCTATGCTATTATGGACATTAAAGATGTAGATTAGCATTTAAGGTGGTCGTTCATTGGCAGATGAATACAAAGTCGATCATAAACACAGCACAAGGTAATTACTGGGACCCGAAAATGCCAGCGTGATTTTAAATGGCACCTTGTGAAACAGGGTCAAAATAAATGAAAACACAAACACTCAAAGATAAATGTACCTTTTTCTTTTCAAACCTGTGATTATGTCAGAAGTTGCATTTATTTTTAGGTCTTATAAGTTAATAATTAGCAGAAAAGCAGACAGACAATGACAGCAGTCCTCCAATGTGGTTTCATCTTCTTTCTCTAGGTATCACTGTGCTGCTTTCTCTAACGGTGTTCATGCTGCTTGTTGCTGAGATCATGCCTGCCACTTCAGACTCTGTTCCTCTAATTGGTAAGACATCCTTTGCCGGTAATTAATGCTCTTTAAAAGAAAAGGGAGATAGAAAAATGATTTGTAAGTGTACCACTTTCCAAATTAGTGATTTCTCACTAAATAGCAATCATCAATTAACCTAGTTTGGTAGATGCAAGGAAAATTCTGAAAGACAATCAAGTTAATTTAAAAAAAAAAAAGTTAAGATGTGCCAAAAAATTGCATGTTAGTCATCAAACGAATGACTAAGCATGTTAGTCATTTAAAATGAGTCAAAGGAATCAGAGATTTAGGAAACTATTTCATATGTCAAGGTCAGTCAGTGACTCAGTTGATCTGCTGCAGAGACATCAAAACACAGCATTTTTCCTAGGTTTATCGTTTTGAGCTTTCCACATTATGGAATTTAATGGATTTGGTGAGTTGGACATATTATTCAACATGTAAACAGAGACTTCCAAGTAATGTCATCTATGTATTAATTCCGACTTGTATTTTGACTGACTAGGGAAGCAGATAAATTTGTTACTGGAAGTTCAAAATATTGTAAAAACCATGTATAGCTAATTTATCTACCACAGAATTGTGATTTCTTCATCTCCAAGAGAATAACATTTTACACGTTTTTTGTTTTATTTCCCATTTTTGAGTCTCTACAGCCTAGAGAGCGCCACAACAATTTTCTTCCGATCAGACTTATAGATCTTTTGTCACAACAGTCTAACAGAACTTTTTTTTTTTCCCACTGGATGATTTGTCGTAACCGTGGGAAAGATGTGCAGGTGTAAGGTGGATGTTTTCTTGTTTCTGCAGTATCTGAAGAGTATGCTCATTGCTGGAGACAAACATTGAGCTACGGCATCTAAGACTGTGCTGACGCACACACGAGCAGACAGGGCGGTGGGCAGAGAGATGAGAGGGAAAACAGCAGATAAAGATAGTTGCTCCGCATCATCTGGTAACTCGGTGATGGAAAACTAAGCCATTAGCAAAGTTTCCTTCATGATGTGTGAGCTCACTGCAGTAGAAGTGATGTTCAATGGGAATCCGTCTGACGGGGTTTCATCCAGTTTCTGCTTGTGGTTTCATAGGGAAATGTATGATAATTGGATTAGTCTGGATAGCTGTGTAACAGAAGCCGCATTAAATCCACCTAGACAGGGTCCTGCAAATCAACACACACCTATCATAATCTATTTAATTTCTTTATGTCTCCGTCTTTACTTCTGATTTGTAATATATCCACAAAATAAATCCCTTCAGTATGAAATTGTGGGGATAGTTACAAATTACATTAATGACCTGGTTTTTATTACTGCTGTATGATGTAAATATTTTGTTTACTTTCAGCTCAGTACTTTGCCAGCACCATGATGATTGTGGGCTTGTCTGTGGTGGTGACAGTCCTGGTTCTTCAGTTCCACCACCATGATCCCAGAGGGGGGAAAATGCCTAAATGGGTAGGTCAAAGGTGCTCATGAAAGTAAACAGATATGAAAAGTCTAAAATAAACTATCACTGCCTTTCTGAAAAACTTTTTGTGAAAGTTCGGTTCACAAAGATTTGAGTCACTCAGATGTCAATGTGTTATTTCTTGTCATGTTTCTGCAAAACATTTGGGAATTATTGAGTTGTTGGGATGAATAATTATGATCCACATGATGTCTCAAAAATAGTAGTTTTGACTATGAAACATTTAAAAGCTCTAGTTAACTAAAGAGAATATTTGGCACGTTTTTGTTCCTCACTACTTAAAGCATTTTTTTCACAAGTTACAGTTTTTCTATCCGCATCTGTACATGCACTTCAGTATATTGTTTGGGGAGCCTGGAATTAAACTCACAATCCTCCAACAAGCCAAAACTAATCCTTCCATTCAGATTTTTTAAACATAAAAAATCTGTTTAAAGCCATTTTCTGCCTCGCTTTCTTGTCTTCGCACTAAATCCCAACATATTGAACGTCTTACTGCGAGCGTGACCTGTGCTTCATTGTTCTGGTTTCTTTTTTGATTTCCTAGATGGGAGTTTGACGTATGATTGGAATAATTTCAACAGACCAGTCATGATTTTCTACAATTGTGGGCATGATGTGCTGCTATTTATATCTTTAACCCCTCTTGACAGATAGGTTTTATTTAAGGGATTTCTTGATTCCACATGTTTTGCAGTAACCAAAACTGAGAGCAGCTAGAATACTTAACGGGGTAGGACAATGTAAAACCAACTTTTTTGAGCTTTATGATATTTCATGATGTAATTCTCTCATCAAAAAACATACCTGGAGTATCTCTTTGACTAGTTCATGCATCTCTGAGAAGTCCTTCAATCTGACCGAAGGTAGTACGACAGAAGGTAGTACAGTAACTTGACTGTACTTGGCTGGAAAATACATAATACTGACCCTTTAATCAAAACAACATAGCACAGTTAATTTTGTTATATTTTAACATACAGTTAGTTTGATTTGAAAGCTTTTTTTCTCCCAGATAAATTTAATAATATTTTAAAAACTGCTTGTTGTATTTACTTAGGTTATTGTTTTCTGATAACATATTTTTTTTGCTTATCAGGAACATAAACCTTTTTATGCCTGTTTTGTCTTTTCTTTAAACTCCCATGTTCCCGTCAACCAGATCCGTGTGATTCTATTGAACTGGTGCGCTTGGTTCCTCCGCATGAAGAAGCCTGGGGAAGAAAATAAACCAGCAGTGAGCTCCAGTAACCCTCCAACGTACAAATGCTCTCACTCTCCTCCGCACCACACCAGCACAACCAGCATCCAGATGAGCACGATACCAGGGCAGGCCCAGTCGACCACAACCAACGGCAACATGAACCTGTACTTTGGCTACCACTCCATGGGAACAGACAACCCCGCCTTCCCACCGAGCACCGACTCAGGCCTGGTGACATGTGGCATCGGCGGTGAAGGAGGTGGAGGAGGAAACCACCTGGGTGGCTCCTCCCAGCCTGACATCCACTCGGACCACACACGGACAATGTTGTTAGAGCAGGTCCCGGAAATCTCCCTCATCCTGGAGGAAGTGCAGTACATCGCCAGGCGCTTTCGAGACCAGGACGAGGGGCAGGAAATCTGCAGCGAGTGGAAGTTTGCCGCCGCTGTGGTGGATCGCTTATGCTTGGTGGCCTTCTCGCTGTTCTCCATCATCTGCACCTTCACTATACTCATGTCAGCTCCAAATTTCATTGAGGCCGTGTCAAAAGACTTTACATAAAGCTTATTTCTTGCCACGCTGAGAAGAAGGAAAATTGCTTCAGAAAGAATCCAAACATGTTGGTATCTATATTATACAAAGATCCTGAACTACTTCTAGTTAAAGCCTCACAAGCTGATACACTCTCTACATAAGATCTTAATGTGTCGTTGCGCTTTTTGCATTTTTTTCTCTTTGAGGTGGCTTTCCTAATGTCATGCAAATAGTAAGAAGTTGATGTTTGATGCTATTGTTAATAGTGTAGATTTTCACTTTGATGCACTTTTCACATTTATCCCTATCACTCCACCTCGTTTCCCTGCCACCACTGTGACATCACGTCTTATCAGAGCAGCCTCCTAACAATCGGTCATTTTTCTGTTTTCCCACATCCCTCTGTTTATCCACCATTTCAAACTTTCAAAGAAGGTTTCTCACATTACTGGTCTGCCGTGTAGCTATTGTAGTTTTTCTTTTACATTTTCAGATACACAACACAACACTGTTTCATTTGTTGAGAATGGATTTATTTTTTTGCTCTTTGTTCTGTAAATTATGCTGTAGCACCATATTAGGTTCTGCTTGAATCTACCTGTGAATTCCTTAGCTGGTAATTCAGTCAGATATTATGGATATACGGTATTTTTTTATTGAGTGGAATTTCTATTCAGATTTTAAAGATCCAAGTTAAAATAGGATCCGTTCACATCTGACAGTTGGGAGGACTGTGAACACATTCAAGATGGATTCCAAAAAGACCCATTAAGACCCCAGTATGAGGTACGCTGGACTATTGTATTTGCATTAGTTTGGCCAGTCCTCACTGGGACAAACTGACTCAATTCATACATTGAAACTCAGAGGATTGCTGACCACATGGATGCCTAAAATGGATGCTCGAGTAACTGAATGTGTATATTATGTCACAGAAAAATAAGCAGACGTGTTGATGCCCTGTTTCTTGCTCAATGATATTTACACATTTTTATTTGCAGTTAGTGTTTTTTTTTTTTTTTGTCTGATCTGATAACACAAGACGTACTTTAATCCCAGGTGTCACTTTCAGCTACTCTGTTTTCAGCAGAGCCAGCCAGGACGTATAATACTACGAGGTCCAGACAGCGCCCGAGTCTTTCTAGACTAGCACATTGGCACCACTGCAAGTTATTTTAAGAACCTTGAAATTACTTCCAACGTCTCTCCCATATCACTGCTGGATTTTTAATTTACTGCATCTCCCTTTGCATTTCTAGTCCATCTCATTTCTTCTTTAAGTATTAATCTTTTGAGTCGCTCTTTGAGCAGCTCAAACCAAGGTTCTGTGTCCACAAATGTAATGAGAAGAATTTTATCAGTGTGGGTAAAAGTCATTCTTAATTGTGGCTTTGCAGTTTTTCATACATTTCTTACTAAGCATATCCCCTGAAGGTTGAAGTGTTTGTCGCATTCTGTGTTATATTTTGTCATATGCTGTCAAAAACTCATGATATAAAAGAAACGACTTTTGACTAAAAGACAAGATTTTAAATGAGTTTTGAGGAAAGGTCAATCCCGTCGACAGCACATTTGGCCTGAATTTTTTGTTACAAAAAAACAAAAACAAAAAAAAATAGCAAAAGACAAACCCTTTGTTAATCTCTCGCAGCGACATGCAACACGGATTACCGGGTGACTGATTTGGGGTAAATGTAATGGTACTTAATCTCCTGCTGCAGCAGGATATATATATATATATATATATATATATATATATATATATATATATATATATATATATATATATATTATGCCCCAATTGTCCTCTCTGATCCTGAGTGGCATAAGACAAATATATTCCAGCTTGTCATGCACAAAGGTGAACCTCAAATGTGGGATTTTATCATGACTGGAGATGTAAGCGACACTGATGAGGAACAAAAGCATCATGACCCAGCACAACTGCTGCAGCAGGAGATTAAGTACCATTACATTAAATCAATGGACCGAGAGCAGACGAAGCTTTGCCACCTGATGATTAACATTTATGCTTTTTTGGAGTTGCAAATGTGCCGTCCTCTCTGCCAATAATGCACCCACTGGAAATGTGAAGACATGTACATAGAGCGTTGTCGACGACCATGTTTCATTTTTGATGTGACTTTGAAAAGCAAAGAAGCCTATTGAGAAAACATTTTGAATTTTTTCTGGAAATTTAAATATTAAAATCTTTTAAAGGTAATTTAGGTCAGGATTCCTCAGCCGACAAGCAACCAGCACAGGTTTTGTTTCTCACTGCCAGTTTGATGACAATATAAGCAGGGTAGTTGTTGAGACATCAACTTTGGCTTTGGAATATCTTTTTTGCGACAAAAGCATAGATTTCATCCAGAGTATCGTCAGCATGAAGGAAGGTTTTAGGTAGAGTAAATGGTAAAATTTTGATATTTGAGACAGAAAATGCTGAACTGCCACAAGGAGGAAGATATTATTTAATTGTATTTTCAACCAGAATTATTTGTTGTTCATATTGTGTGTTTTTATTTGTAGTCGGTGCCTCTTAACAGTATGAATAATTCTCCTTAAAAGATGTTCACAAAACCTCACTGTACATGCCTATTTTATGAAAAATAAACAAAAGCTGACAAATAAAACTATTGTGTGGCTTCTTTTTGTGTTTCAAGGCAGCAAACTGATTTCTTTTTGTCCCAAAATCTCTGGGTTATTCGCAAGTAAGTTTGGACTTTGACTGGGTCATGCTAAAACATGCATGGCACCAACTCTGCAAGACAGAGTTTAGAAAGTGTGGCTAAGCTACATTTTTCAGTTTCTAGCATGAGCCACGGGAAGTTAGATGTGACATAAATTCATTTGTGGATTTTAAGCAAGACATTTGGCATCTTCCACACACAAGCATAGATATATATAAAAAAATAAAAAAAAACAGTGCACCACACATACTCTAAATGCTTCTCGGCAGAGTGATACCACGTTCGAATTGGCCAAATCCAATCTCAAGGTCCACCACACACAGACAGCTGTTGGTGGCTGGAAGTTCTCTACTCTGTATCAGACCTCGTGAACAGACATGCAAATACAAATCGAGTATTTGTAAACCCGCAAAGAGAGGCAATGCCTTAATTTCTCCCTTTGCTGCAATCTGTCCAAGTTTGCTTTCTCTCTTCTCTGATCTTGATATAGAAAACACCACCTGGGTTTATAAAACCACTTATGCAAGTGAGGAAAATATTTTTGCTCTATTTGGTGGCAATGCTCGTGAAAAATTACCTGTGACAGAGCCCTGTGAACAGTTTCTCTAATGTAAATATTACACACCTGATCCAACTTTGGAACTGCTTGAATGTGGAGCCACAGCACTCTGACACACTTCTGGTTCATTTCATAAATTAGCCGCTTGCGTCCCAAACAGCACTGCTGTGGCCCTGTAGCCTCAGATGTTAAGTCTTAACCATTTTAGCCATTTAGACATTTAGTGTGGTATTTTCAGGTTTTAATTATTTGTGTGAAAATGGGATTATAAAACCACACAATTTCACCTTGTAACATCTCAGCTGAAATGAGTTTTAATGAGGCAATCTCAGAAGCTTCCGAAACAAACGAGTCACCTCTAGCTTTATGCAAACAGTTACATGACATGTGCCTTCTCCAACAAGTTACAGCTGCAAAATCTGTATAAAAATAGAAATATGTAACAAAGAAAAGTGCAACTGAATGACTAAGATATGAAACAAGTAAGATGAGAGGAAAATGTCAGTTTTACTCTTTCATCTTGTATGAAATGATGAAAACGGATCATGTCTACTTCATGTTTGACCCTTTCATTTCAGATAGAGTAAAATATTATTCTGATAAATGAGATAGGACAAAACAACTAAACATTTGTACACATTTTTGTGTCCTACAGGAATAATTATATTTAACTCCTTATTGCCTGAATTTATTTACAAATAAGTTATGATTTCGCTATCAGACATTTTTTTTAAAACACAACCTGAAGCCCTGTTTGCATGGGATAAGCATTATCCAGGGAACCCATGTGATAGATAAATTACTCCTTATTGATTGATTTTTGTATGGTGCATTTACATTGGATAACTAAAACCTTATTTTGCTGAAATTTACTGACATCTCCCAGATATGATGGTAACACGCTGCATATTAACTGTAAATTGACTTATTTTAGTTAATCGTGAAATTATTCAATTAATTGGCAAAATACTTCTAATATGATCTTTGGTATACAGAACTTAGATGAACAGGTACAGGAATTGTTCCTGATTCATATAAGTAATAATGGTGCATCAAAGATAACAAAACACCACATTGATATGAAATGCAAACAAAAATGTGCGTTAGATTCCAGTGGTTTTCTCTTTTTCTTTTGTCATTTTCAAACCTGACCAGTAAGCTGTTGTCATGATGTACAAAGTGCATGTAATGCACCAGTTTGTGCTACACATTTGGCATAATGACTGGACTGAATACCAGTCTGCTTGGCATGCGTTCAAACGGCACCGGCATTCACTTCAACCAAACCGAGACCTCGGCCTGTTTGCTTTTTTTGTTCAGCATCAGAGTTTGACTGAGCATTCACCTCTCCTCTCCAAACAAATTGTGCTTTCTATGCAAATAAACTAGAGTTGAATTAAATCTAAACAGGACTGGTGTGAATGCACCCTCAGTGTGTTGGGGGAACTGTGCTTCATGTTTTTACGTGCATGAAACAAAATAGGCTGCTGCTGTTTGCTGAGGTTGGGATGGAAACTTTAGGTGCAAACTACTTTTTAACAATTTTAAGAAATTCCACCGTCTTATTTGGAATGACAAGCCAGAGCAGAAATCAATCTGGGTGAATACATTGGAGGTAGCTGATTTCACTCCAGAATGTCTTTACAAGTTTAATACATGTACTTTTATGATATCTAATAAATAACAGAAGGATAAGCAAAGTGAATTCAAAGGTAGTTCTCTAATTCTTATTGGTTATTCAACATTCTGCTTTTGGCTTGAATGAAATTTTAATCATCCAGCTACTGCAGGACTGCAGAGGCTCTTGACACCATTAGTCACAGAATCACATTTGGGTCACTATGAAATTAGCCATGTGTCCTACAGTGAAAGTGAAGATCGGTGTGAGAAAAAGTTCAATATTAATAAGACATAATGTCATTGTTTATGAAAAATAAAATACTGCTTATCTGCTGAGACCCAATTAATTTACAGTTGGTAAATTTTGCAAAAAGTCAAAATTAGGTGTTTACTTCACAAAACTTTGTTACCAGAAAACACGCTCGTCTCTTAGCAACGAATATTGTTATTGTTCATAAAACACACAATTTATTCTGCTCTTTTGAAATGCAGCTTATCGTGTACTATGTACAACTTAAGAATTGTGCAGTTGGTGAATTTTTCAGAAAATTTTAAAGAAATGTATTTCTTTGTCAATGGTGGTAATTATATTATAAAACAGACATTCAACAAGGAAGTAAAAATCTGATTCTTAACAGTTTGACATCAGAAAACACGCTCATCTCTTTACACCAAATTAATAACACACAGTGTTATTGTTTATAAAATATAAGGTCAGATCTAGCAAAGGTGTGCATGTGGGGTAGAAGCTCTGGTGTGAAGGTCTATTGTGCTAAAACCGAAATGAGATTTTTGGTGAGTGACTGGCTATAATGCTTTGAGGAAAGAATAATTGAGATGAGCAAAATATTTGGGGTGACCATCTGTAATCCAGGCACACATAGTGGAAGTCAAGAAAGAAAGAGGGAGAAAATTGGCTTAAAATTTGACTGATTTTTAATAATGTTTTTGAAGTGCTGTTCTCCATCTGCTACAGTACATTCCAAACATTTTATTACCTATGGGACCTGAAAGCGACTCGGTGACCGAACTTGTGCACTGTGAGGTGAATCGTCTTTGTAAGGATGCCAACTATGCATTCTGACTGAGCTGCTACCCATCGCTTTATCATCTAATCCATCTTGACACTGTTTGTTTTGTGTGTGCCTGTAAGACTTTTAGGGATTGTGCAATACACGTGTTCAAACCAGTGTTTCGGAAGAAAAGCTTAAGTCAGGAGAAATGAAGCAAATGCTGAAAGGGGGCGTACAGGGAGATGGATGAAGAGCATCAGACAGAAGGAGGGGGAGACTTTGAAGAGATGTTCTGTGCCTCAGGGACAAACAGAACTCAAATTGCTGAATTTTGACTTAATGAGAGAAAGTGTGCAAATCAAATATAGAAAAGTGCTGGAAAGTACAAAACGTAACAATTAGACAAGCTTCCCGAGTCAGATATTGATATTTGTGAGTCAGCGATGCAAAGAAAACTCAAAGTGAATAGTAGTGCATATTTCCCCCATGTTTTTATTCATCTCTATTTGATCTTGATGCCTTTCATTAGACAAATTACATCGAGTCAGGGTGAAAATGTTTTTTTGTTCTTTTGCTTTGGCACTTCAACTTGGTGTTTGTTTTGGGTTTTTTTAAAAAAGGTGATGACTATCATATTTCTAGTGATATGACACTGTTTGACAAGTTCACTTCATGTTTTAGAAAAGAAATTACTTAAATAGCACGGTCTATTAAAATGAAGTTTAGGCCTAGTTAAAGAGAGAGAGCCTGAACAATCTTGACTCAGTTTTTCTGACGATGATTAAACAGCAGTGAGTTTCTGTCCCTGTAGTGTGTCCTTGAATATTGA